CGAGATGACGATGAAATATGTCACTAACGGTTGGCCGTCGAAAAAGTTTGAAGGTGACATGAAGCAACTGTATCGCCGGCGGGAGTCACTATGCATCGTGAACGATTGTCTGATGTTTCGTGAAAGAGTAGTCGTACCAGAATCCCTTCGTGCAAATGTGCAACAGTTCCATCTTGGTCATCCTGGATGAACGAATGAAGTCCATAGCCAGGAGTTATGCATACTGGCCACACATGGATCAACTTGTCACAGCGTTGTTTGAAAAATTCAAGCAGCAGCGCTCGAAAATGTGGAATAATATCAAAAGCGACAATATTTCACCGGACTCACTCGTACTGGTTCTAAGTTATCGACCGGTCACTTTCATTCCACATAATGATAAGGTTCCTTCTCCGTCATACAATAACGCGCATCTCGATGCTAATCATAATAAGGCTCTGAGCAAGAAGGGTTTCTGAGTCCTCAAACGTCTCAGTTTCCGAAACCGTATAACGGTCTACCTTTCGGAGTTAAGACTGCCCCTTATGTTTGCTCATCGCCGTTTCCATAAGTTTCTGTACGGTCGGAGATTCACGCTCTCCACAGATCACAAGCTTCTGTTAGCAATAGTTGTTTCAAAGACTGGCATTCCAGCCCATTCTACAAATCGTCTTCAGCGATGCGCCTTGGTACTTTTGGGGTATGATTTCTAAATCCAATATCGACAAACTCTACAATTCGGTCAAGCAGACGCTTTGTCACGACTCATTTTTGATCAAGTGGCGGCTCAGGAAAACATGGTGATCGCATCTCTGTCAGTAGAACACGACGCAGAATGTTATCTGACAACCGCGGTTCGCGAATTACCGGTGTCTACAACGGACTTACAAAATGCTTTTGGAAACGACCCCATCATCGAGATGACGATGAAATATGTCACTAACGGTTGGCCGTCGAAAAAGTTTGAAGGTGACATGAAGCAACTGTATCGCCGGCGGGAGTCACTATGCATCGTGAACGATTGTCTGATGTTTCGTGAAAGAGTAGTCGTACCAGAATCCCTTCGTGCAAATGTGCAACAGTTCCATCTTGGTCATCCTGGATGAACGAATGAAGTCCATAGCCAGGAGTTATGCATACTGGCCACACATGGATCAACTTGTCACAGCGTTGTTTGAAAAATTCAAGCAGCAGCGCTCGAAAATGTGGAATAATATCAAAAGCGACAATATTTCACCGGACTCACTCGTACTGGTTCTAAGTTATCGACCGGTCACTTTCATTCCACATAATGATAAGGTTCCTTCTCCGTCATACAATAACGCGCATCTCGATGCTAATCATAATAAGGCTCTGAGCAAGAAGGGTTTCTGAGTCCTCAAACGTCTCAGTTTCCGAAACCGTATAACGGTCTACCTTTCGGAGTTAAGACTGCCCCTTATGTTTGCTCATCGCCGTTTCCATAAGTTTCTGTACGGTCGGAGATTCACGCTCTCCACAGATCACAAGCTTCTGTTAGCAATAGTTGTTTCAAAGACTGGCATTCCAGCCCATTCTACAAATCGTCTTCAGCGATGCGCCTTGGTACTTTTGGGGTATGATTTCTAAATCCAATATCGACAAACTCTACAATTCGGTCAAGCAGACGCTTTGTCACGACTCATTTTTGATCAAGTGGCGGCTCAGGAAAACATGGTGATCGCATCTCTGTCAGTAGAACACGACGCAGAATGTTATCTGACAACCGCGGTTCGCGAATTACCGGTGTCTACAACGGACTTACAAAATGCTTTTGGAAACGACCCCATCATCGAGATGACGATGAAATATGTCACTAACGGTTGGCCGTCGAAAAAGTTTGAAGGTGACATGAAGCAACTGTATCGCCGGCGGGAGTCACTATGCATCGTGAACGATTGTCTGATGTTTCGTGAAAGAGTAGTCGTACCAGAATCCCTTCGTGCAAATGTGCAACAGTTCCATCTTGGTCATCCTGGATGAACGAATGAAGTCCATAGCCAGGAGTTATGCATACTGGCCACACATGGATCAACTTGTCACAGCGTTGTTTGAAAAATTCAAGCAGCAGCGCTCGAAAATGTGGAATAATATCAAAAGCGACAATATTTCACCGGACTCACTCGTACTGGTTCTAAGTTATCGACCGGTCACTTTCATTCCACATAATGATAAGGTTCCTTCTCCGTCATACAATAACGCGCATCTCGATGCTAATCATAATAAGGCTCTGAGCAAGAAGGGTTTCTGAGTCCTCAAACGTCTCAGTTTCCGAAACCGTATAACGGTCTACCTTTCGGAGTTAAGACTGCCCCTTATGTTTGCTCATCGCCGTTTCCATAAGTTTCTGTACGGTCGGAGATTCACGCTCTCCACAGATCACAAGCTTCTGTTAGCAATAGTTGTTTCAAAGACTGGCATTCCAGCCCATTCTACAAATCGTCTTCAGCGATGCGCCTTGGTACTTTTGGGGTATGATTTCTAAATCCAATATCGACAAACTCTACAATTCGGTCAAGCAGACGCTTTGTCACGACTCATTTTTGAT